AACTTAGTTTTTAAGAGCAACCAGAGTTAAAAACACGCGACTTTCTTCTCCCCCTTTCTAACGCAATACCAGAAAGGGCATCCTCAAAGCTAACTTCCAACTTGCTAGCAGACTCTCTGGCTCCCTCCAACAGCCCTGGAGCAAGTAAACCCGAAGACCAGCTCCTCTCTGCCTGAGCCCTCGATCTGTTCCGCCCATCCGGCCGAGCACTAAGTTTCGAGTGCGTGTGAAAAGAAGCCGAAGCCCTCCTCCCGAGCCCGGGACTACCCTTGCGGGAGGCGACATTCCTCTGCGCCACGCGAAAGAACGCAGGCCCGGCGGCCTCGCGCACGCCCCTCCCACGCCGCCCCCGGACCCCACAGGGCCTGGCCCACCGCTCCGCACGTGGCCTGCCCCAGTCTGGCCTCACCCTCCTCGGGGTCCGCCTCAGGGTCCGCCTCGCTCGGTCGCGGGTTCAACAACTGTTCCAGTTGCAGTGCCAGGGGCTGCAGCCCCGCCATCGTCACCAGCTCTCGGTCCACTCCGCTTCGCGCCCTTAAATGTGCGGCCCAAACCCCGGCCCCGACGCTCCCTCCCGGTCGGGTCCTCTCGCCCAGATCCGATTCCCCGACACCACCAGAGTCCGCGCGGAGGCCACCCCACAGCTCGGGACCGGCAACTTCCGGGAGGCGCGCGGGAGGGGGCGGGGCCTGCGCGTCACTGCGGGCGTTGCTAGGATGAAGGCGGAAGCGCGCGGAAGGTTGAAGGGATTGGAGCCGTGCGGGCGCGTGTGCGCGTGCGCGTGCGCGTGCGCGGGACTGGGCGGTGCGGAAGCACGCCAGGGCACGTAACCGCTTCTGTAGCTGAGACGGGATTGTGATGCGCGCGGCCAGTGTACCCTTGTACAAAATATGCCTCGAGATTTGTGCGAGATTCGCTTAGGAATAAAGCGTAGCTTAGCCGTGCCCACGGTGGCTGATTTGGAAAGAAGGAGGGAGTAAAGCTTAAGCTGCTCAAACCGCAGGTGCGCACTCGGGCGCGCAGAGACTGGGAACCAAAACAGGTTTGGCATTTCGCAATTTAGAGTAGTCTGAGGCCGGACGCACGCCTCCAGCCCTTCAGCGGCCAGGATTTGGGAATCCTATGTCGGGGATGTGCACCTGTAAGTGTGTGGCGGACTGCTGGCGTCTATTAATGGAAATACTTAGGAATCGCTGTGGTTAAAGATAGTTTCTGTAGCGTCTCCAAGTGTCCTTGCCTGAGCAAGGAAAAGGGGGTGGGGTGTGGATTACTCCACTGCATACCCCTCGGTATTGATTATCTTTGCTGTTCAGAGATGAGGGCATGCTCAGCCACCTTAAGCAGGTGCAGAAATGCAGAAAAATACAGGTCTACCATTAGAGGGGCAGACTCAAAATATAAAGACTTAATAGTATAAATGTAATTGCACCCGGCACACGGAAAGACACAATCGCTTTACATCCTCTTTCTTTCAAGCATTCCCTGACTGCCCACTATGTGGCAGGCACTGCTAGATAAGATACAAGATAAGTTGGATTCTCTCCCCACGGTGATCAGCCTAGCAGGGTAGACAAACATGTAAACAGAAACTGCAATAAGGGATGATAAGTGTTACTACAAAGTGGTCTATTCTTATGGTATCTGTTGGAGGTTGCTTGTAGAGACCTAGACCCCTCTAAACAGAATCTGCCTCAAAAGGATCCAGAAAAGAGATGTTAGTGGTGCACTGTGGCAGTGCCCCTTGGGTACAGCCCAGGCCAGTTGGATCCCACAGCTGAACAACTGGGGAACCCCCAGCTCTCCACCGTCTCCCATGGAAACCAAGGGAAGAGAGGATCTCTGACTTTCACAATCATCATATGTCCTCAGGGTTAAGAGCAGTAAGAGGACACCACTTTAGTGGAGCCTGTTCCATGTCCCTGTAAAGTGGCTCTTGAAGAATGAAGACAACCAGGGCTGCAGAGGAGAAGGAGAACCTATCTGAGGGTAAACCCCCTCAGACATGGAAAGAAAAGAATGCCAGGCTAGGCAGGGGACTCAGGAGAAGAAAACTGCTTTTTACCATCCATAAGAGAACTTAGCCTAGGAGAACAGTTTTTTGTTTTCTTCTGTACTTGCAGTCTTGTGCCTGCGTCTGGGCCTCCCAAGCAAAAGTGTGTTCCTTGGTCCTTGGCAAGGTGCCATGGGGCTTTAAAGGACAAAAATGTTTCTCCCACCCCACGTTTAAGAAACTACCTCCTGCAATCCTATTCCCTTGCTATGTTGGGTACTTATAATGCTTAGAAACCTGGCCTTCAAGGTAAAGAGAAGGAAGAAAAGAGAAAGGGAGGTGAGTCAGTGCAGAGACCACCTCTAGGCTGTCATGCAAACAGGACACTGCTGGCCAGTTTGGGGACTGTGCTGGGCACACACTCGGCAGAAAATGCCATAGACCTGTTTACTTACTCTCCCTTCTCTGTCCTGGTCCCTACTGACTTGGGAAGCCATTTTAGCAATGAATCAAGACCGCTCTACTGTCACACACATCCCAGGGCCCCCCAAAATGCTTGCCTGACCTTATACTGAAGGTAGAAAGAGGACTCCAAGAATGGAGGGAAGAAGGAATAATTCTAGGAATTAAGATGCAACTGAGAGCAGCTGAGGCAAGGGTCGGGGGAGCAAATTCTCAAATACTCCCTCTGGGGGCCTCTCCCTACCCACATTCCAGTGTCTTGAGTTGGTGGGGGAAGGGCTTCTTGATGGGGTAGGGATGGAGATGGAGAGTGGACTGTGGCAAGGAGATTCAACCTTTGACTGCTATAGAGATGAGAGCAGATGAGAGGAACAGGGAGAGGAGAATAAGGGTGAGCAGTTCCCCAACAGAACAGCCTTCTCTGGAGAAGGCAGAGGGACACCCAGTCCACAGTCCCTCTGCCTGCCCTCCAAGGGCTGCAAAGTGGCGGGCGATTAGGCACAGCAGAAGATGGGCAAGGGATGACACCTTCCAATTGTCCCAAACGTCTGCTCACTTGAGGAGTTTCAAGAGTTTAGGAAAACCAAGTTCCCCCTTGCCTCTCCTCAGATGCTGTCCACCCTCAAGGCCCAGCCCTGGCAATGCCTGTCCTGGCTCTCCACGGGTAATGCTTCCCCAAGTGCCTCACCCGGAGCAGCTCCCCAGCGGCAGCCAGCCCAGAGAAGTTGGGTGGGTGAGCTTCAGCTCCCTCGCCAGAGCAGATGGTGGCCCCCTGCTGCTGGAACCCTGAAGGCAGGTGGCGAGAGGCACAGAGGTGGTGGCTTTAAGATGGCCGCGGGGAGAAACCAGGCTGCCCTCCCAGGCGAGAGGGGACCGCGGTGGCGCTTCCCTCCTGCCGCGCCTCCCGCGGGAGCTCCGCCTAGGGATGGTGCTGCGCGTCCCCGCACCTCGGGGCCAGAGGTGGGCAGCACAGCACTGATGGGAAGGAGAACAGGCCCTGACATTTCCAGGCCTCCTCCTCGGGGCCTTCGGTTCCAAATTTGACTGCTGAGCGTTGCCACCTGTTCGGGTTTTCGCCAGGATTCTGAATCCCGCGCTGAGGGGAGAGACTGCGCCACTGCCACGGAGTTAAGAAGAATCGAATCCACATCGTGTGCCCAACTCGAAAACGCTTCTTATCAAATACCCCGATTCCACAATAAAGCTGCTAAATAATTCAGCAGCCTTGATAGGAAAAAGCAGCTTCCCAATGAGCGCAGTTCATTTCAATGAATGTCTTTAAAGGGGGCTAGAGAGTAGAGGCTAATAATGAAAGTTAGCTATGATATAATGTATATAAATGCTAAAAAGGTAAAAACAAGCCGATCCAGTGATTGCATATAAAGCAAATAAAGAAGTGTGCTGCATGCAGAGGCTGGGAATTTCAAAAGTCTCCTTTGTATTTCATACATTTTTATTTCTGAAAGAACACTACCAGATTCCTCCCGGATAGCCTCTTCCCCCATTAGATAAGCCATCATATGGATGCAGTGAAATATTGCTTATTTTAAAGCCTTCTCTGCAGGAAAAATAAACCTGGCTGTGTCTTAACAAAATTTGAAAACAGCACTGGAAATTATATACCATTTAATGTCAAACCTTTGACATTTTAAATAAGGAAATAAATAATCCAGAGTGAAATCTCGGTGATATGGAAAAGAAATCCTGGAACTCTAATAGCATCTGATACTGAAACACAAACATCCACAAGAGTATTTCATAGTAGATAAAATACTCAAATTTCTTCCAAGTCTAATGAAGGACTGGAAAGAATTGAGCTACTTTTAGAAGCTTTTGGTAACTCCCAGTTGAAATTTGATTTCTATATTAGTAATTTTTGTTCATCTTTCAGAGAAGCTAATATGTATCTTGTGCCAGGCAAAATAGTTTTCCTTCTGGGGAACTTCAAAGGTAACAAATACTACAAAACAACAATTTCATATCAGTTCTGTGAAAGGGATTAAAATATTTCATTTCTAGCTGTACTATACCTTCATTTTATATTATCTTTCAAACGACCAAATTAGAAAGCCTTTACATTATCTTTCAAACCACCAAATTAGAAAGCCAGATTATCTATGGGAAATGAATTGAAACTGAAAAGGACCATCTCTAACTATGTATTTACAAGTATCTGATCTTCACAAGCCCAGTTTTGCATGTGCAGGGAGAGTGAAAGAGGGAATGCCTTGGATCTCATGCCTAATCACAGACCTGGACCACTCATTTTTTAGCCATGGATTTGATTTCTATTTCAAGTTCTATATTAACTTATCAGCAAACATCTCTTCAACGATATCAGTTAAATCCACAGGATGCAAATCTGTAGCTAATAACAGCAGGAAGCCACAGAGAAAAGCTTGGCTGGCATTAGCAAAAGGTTTCAGCCACAGCCAAGGCAAAGACAGATATATTACCCCAATCCTGCCTCTCTTTTCCACCTGGCTTCTGAGGACCCATTCAGTTCCCCATCAGGGCTCCCCTTTGAACACATCAAATAACACGCCAATTATCTAAACATCAGGTTTTCTATTTTTATTAAAAACTCACAAATTTATTCAACATGTTTTCTTTCATACAGTGAATGGTCTAATATGCACTGGAGGTCACACAAGCTTAGGTTTATTAGAACAATAAAAGACATATGAGAAATTTAATATATAAAGAAAAAGTAGCAGCTGTTGACTGCATATTTGACCATAAAATTTAAATATTTTGGACTTTTATTTTAAAGACACAAAAATAAAACCTGTGTGGGTCTATATAAGTCATATTAACAATTCCATGAATGTTCAACAGGACAAAAATTAGCAAAGATGTTTTTTTTTTTAAACCTTGTAACACTTTTTTTTTTTTTTTTTTTTTTAACACTTTCTCAGGTTGCTGGTGCCAGGCACCTTTACAGTATTTGTGCTATAATTATTCTATTTGGCAACTGTCTGAATAGCATGTTTTCTCTTTGCCTCATGTAAACAACACCTTTTTACATACTAGCACAGTGAGCCAAAAGCCCTGCAAATCTGTCAGAACATCTACAGGAAAAGAAAAGGAACAATTTTGGTTGATTGCTCAAAACATTTTGTTTTCGAACAAGAGGTTTGAAAACAGGATATATTAGTAAAACACTGAACTCCTGAATTTAACATTATACGTAAACAGTTGACTGTTTTTAGTTCAATAGTCTTTTTTTTTTTTTTTTTAACTTTTTTGTGTGTGAAGGTAGAATACTTTTCTTGTACAGCTGATGTTCAAGTCATTTTACTGAGCGGTCTGGCTGGAGACCATCCTACCGAGTGTGTCCGTGTATGTGTTTATGTGTGTGTGTGTAGTTTTGTGAAGGTAGAAGAGTTGATACGGAGGGCTTTACATTTAGAATTTTGCAATTTTGGCAAAAACAAAAACCAAAAATCCAGATAGACAAAAAATATATATATAGTCCCACCTGATGCATGGCAGGTCGGCGTTTCTGAAGCTATAAGAGTTTGTTGTCGTTGTTGTTGAACTCTGAGACAACACTAATAAGGGATATCCCAGAGCTAGAACCCTCTTGGCTGACCCGGGAGCGCCCCCGGGCCGCTTCACCTCCCTCATGGTTGTGCTCACGGCCTCCCTCCCCAGGGCTCCTGGCATCGCCAATGGCTGTGCGCACCCGCGGCTGCCCTGGACGTCTTTTCGCCGCCCGCCTGCCAGGCGCACACGCCCGCGGGGTCTGTCCACGGATCTAGGTCCAGGTGGGAGTTGGGGAGAGGTCTGAATTTCCCTTGGGGAGCTCCAGTTCTGCACGTCGAGAGCCAGTGCGCGGATCCCAATCCCACCTCGAGGCCGATTTGGATGCTATTTCGTGTCCCCCTTTTCCATCCGGAAGGAGAATGGTTGTCGAGGCTGGAGGAAGGGGGTGGGGACTTGCTTTTTATGTTTTTTTCTTTTTTCTGTTTTTCTTAAATAAAGGTTCATTTCTGTACAACCACGAACTCCGCAGACCGTGCAAGACCCCGCTACCACACGGCCGCCTCGTTCATTTCGGGGGGGTGGGACAGGTGATTCCCGTAGCTTGCCCCACCGTTGACCGACAGCGACGAGAAGGGCGGGCTAGGCCCAAAGACCTCGGCCGACATGGAGTGCAGAGGCCCGGGCAGGCTGGGCTCGGGGCTGGGCGAGTCGCCGGGTGGGTGCGCCAGGATGTCGGTGAACCGCTGCGCCTCGCTCGACGGGTGGTGGCCCGGCAGAGGGTGCTCCAGGCCACCCAGGGGCGTCCCGGACGGCCCAGACGACGGCACGAAGGGTAGGTCCACTGGCGTCTGGGCCTGCGAGGACGGGGGGCCTTGCGGGAAGAAGTCGTAGTTGCCCCCGGGCCCGTAGTACTCGCTCTGGTAATCTGCGGAGCGGCGGAGAGGGAGCAGGACGTCAGGGCCCGGCCGGGGGCCGGCGGGACCGAAAGGGAGGGAAGGCGCGCCCTCGGCGGGCTGAGGAAGACCACGCGGGGAACTCGCCGATCGCGGGGAGCCCTTGCGGGCCTGGGTGCAGGGAAGAGGCTGGGCGCAAACCCGGGAGCTGCCCCTTACCACCCAACCCCGTCATTCAGGGCCGGGAATTGGGCCCTCGGTCTCGCCGCCTCCCCTTGATTTATTCCCAGCCTTCGCCCTACTCGCCCCGACTCTCCAGTGGCTTACAGAGAAGGAGGCGTGCCCCTCGCGCTGCCACCCGCTTCTAACGAAGCCCGCCCCGACCTGGCCGCGCCCCACCGCTCGACGCGCACCCACCTCCGTAGAAGGAGAAGGGGCCGTTGGGGATGAGCTCGCCGGGCTCCAGGCGGTCCACCAGCGGCCGCATCCGGCGCGGACTGCGGAAAAAGGCGTGGCGCCGGGCGCCCAGCGCGCTCAGCTGCTTCATCCTCCGCTCTTTGGAGCGCCGGTTCTGGAACCAGACCTGCAGCACATGGCGGCGGGGTGAGCCCTCCGAGACTCCACTCCCGACTCCGCCTAGCTGGCCGACTCCGCGCGCGAGTGTGTGTGTGTGTGTGTGTGTGTGTGTGTGTGTGTAGGGTAGTGGTGACGGGGCGATCTCCAACTAGGACCACTCAGGGTGGACCCTGAGCCAATCAATGGTGAGCAGGAATCCCACAGAAGGACCTGGACAGGCCGCCCTGTCTGGAGGGAGGCAGTTGTGGTATAGCTGGGGTTTTTCTAACAGTCACACTATCACAGTTACAGTTTCTCTGGGGCTGTACACACATAGAGACTACGCCTCTCCAAAATAATGTCAGACACACACCGGACTTCCATTTCACGGTCTCTTGCAGCAACCCTCCTCCAGCCATGACAGAGACACAGAAACAGCCTGTAATACCAAAACCCACAATCTCCTTTTCACACCCATGCACAATCTCACAGTGCCAAACATACTTATCCACAGCCTCTTGCCAATGGTGACACAGACGCACAACTTCTCATTCATGCACACAGGTTCTCACAGTCTCCTGCAGGCCTCAGGGCCTTCCGTGTTGCACACATGTGCACACGCACCGCCAGCCTCCCAGGCAGGTACATCCACCCACACCCACGCAGGGCATCCAGGCCCGGTTAACCGGACACCTAGCACTGAGCCAGAGATTCCCCTGGCCTGGAGCTTCAGCAGTCTCACCTCCTTTCCTCCCACAGGCCCAGCTGCCTCCAGGTGGCCTCCCATCCCCATTTCACTCCAACTGGCTGGAAGCAAAGCTGACTCCTGGCAGAAGCACCTCTCTTTGGAGGGGAAGTCCCTGATCTGGGGCTTGTCTAATTGGAGCAACGATCACAAAGTTGGAGTTGCAGACTTAGAAGGAGTTGACTTTGTGCAGAAGGTAGAGGCACTGATTGACTCTGGGGGACACTGAGACTTCTCTGAGAACCCGAGATGGGGGTGGGGTATGTGCAGAAAGAGGGCTCCCCACTCTCTCCAGAGTGTTCAACAGTTCCCCTCCTCCAGTCTCTGGCTGAGCTCCCGCCCCTCCCCCTCCACTGCCACGATCACCTCTGTCGGGCCGGGAAGAGGGCTTTCTAGATGCTCTAAGGTATCAGGCATTTCATAGGTCCTGCAGGCTCGAGATGTGTCTAGGCACCCCACCTTCAGACTCCATCTCTCACTTCTCTCTGGATTCTGGGGTCTCCCGGGCTCGGCCTGGGTGCCCAAAGTGGCAATATGGGCCTCTGTGGGATGGAGAGGCGCGCCGGGGCCTGACCTGAATGACGCGCATGTTGAGGCCGGTCTCCTGCGCCAGCTGCTCGCGGATGTGGCGGGTGGGCTTGGGTGTAGCAGCGAAGGCGGCCTTCAGCGTCTCCAGCTGCTTGGCTTTGATGGTGGTGCGCGGTCCCCGCCGCTTGGCGCCCAGGTTCTGGTCGTCATTTTCGTTGCTACCCCCTTCCTTGTCTGACACGTTGGCGCTCTCCGAGTCCTTGGCGTCGTCCTGCGACGGGTCTTGGGAATCCGGAGACAAACTGGGGTCACTGCCCGTGGTGGCTGAGAAGAGGGAAGGGACAGATGAGCCGGGGCCTTGGAGAGCCTTTCTCCCCCAGGACCCGCTTGCGCCTAGCCAGCCGGGAATTGGGGCCTCACCCGAGTGAAGGCTGTTCTCTTTGGCAACACTGCTGTTACTTAGGTAATCCTCTTTGCAGACGAACTTATTCTCGTCGATGATGTAGAGCTCCTCGCCAGTGGAGAGCTGCTTGTTACACATCATGCAGGTGAAGCAGTTCAGGTGAAACACTTTGCTCCGCGCTCTCCGCACCAGGTCGCTAGGGGAGATGCCCTGCGCGCAGCCTGCGCATTTGGTACCGAAACACCTGCGGGGGTGGGGCGGGGGCGGGGGCGGGGATGGGTCAGCCAGGGGCAGCGGGGAGACAGGCGGGGAGAAAGATGACAGCGAGAGAGGGGGAAGATGTAAAAAGTGGAGGAAGTAGGAGAGGAGAAATGGAGCGGAGAAATAAGGGAAGAGAGAGATAAAGAGAGGCAGAATTCCGGTTAAGCAGGTGAGGAGGCAGCAGGAGAGACAGCACGGCACCAGGGAAGAGTCAGGCAAGAGATACACGCGGTTAGAGCCAGGGGCCCAAGCTGCCCCCCAAGCCCCAGCTTCACTCCCAGCGTTATCCCAGAGGAAAGATGCATCCTCTAAAGAAGGTGGCCTGTGGGGGGGTGGGGGGGAACAGGGGACACTTATTTTCCTATTAGATTCAGAAAAGTCGAATTATAGTTAGAGCTTTATATAAACGTGCGCGGAGCGCTGCTTTTCTCTCCTTCACCGCAAAAGGACCCGCACACAGGCGTGGGGTTGGCGAGGTCTAGTCCCGCTGTTGGTAAACAAACATAGCCGCGGAGAGACCCCCGTAGCCACAGCGGGGCCGCCGCCACGCTCTTGCCTGAAGCGGGGCAGGTTGGCAAAAGCGGGAGCCGCGGGAGCTGGCTCTGGGCGCCCTGCCGCGGGTTGTGGAGGCCAGGCCTCAGGGACCCACTGGCAGCGGGTACGAGTACGGTTTGCCACCCTCCCGCTATGATCCAGTCATTGCAGAGGAAAACCGAGCAGCCCGCGGAGGGTCAGAGGCTCAGCCCGCGCGTTCTCCCGAAATACCAGCGAGCACGGAGCTTTGCTTCATGATTCCACGCAACCCAACCCCAGCCTGGAGCGGCATTGGGGACAGCGCGTCTTGGCCCTCTGAGTGGCTTTGAATCCCTCTTCCTCCCTGCTCCCTGGTTTGAACTATGACCACAAACTTAGAAAACCAGAGACTCGGCTGACGCCGAGTAAATTGCGAGATTTCACATCCGTAGGGTAGAATTACAATTCGCATTTGCGCCCGTTCTTCTCTGTTGACTTGTGTGTTTGTGCGGATGGAGTGGCAAAATTGTGAGTGTAAGATAATATAATTAAAATGTTAAACGGATAAGGGGAGTAGGGAGAAGTCTCCCCACCAGCAAGCTGGGGGTCTCGGCTTTCCCCCAGGTTTCAGCAAGGAGGTTGCTGGCTGTGGCTGGCAGTTTCCTAGAAGGACTGCTGAGCGGAGCCCGTGGGAGTCGGAGTCGCCTGGGGCTGAAGCCGAACCACCAGACAACTTCGGCAGCCAGGAGAGCAGGGAAAAACTCCGGGCACTTCGCAGGCTACAGTGAGGCAGTTTGGCCAGGTCTGCACTCGGAGGCCTGTCCGGGTTTGGGGAAGACCCCCGGGCGTGCAGGATCGGCCTTAAGGCCAAGTTCTTGGCCCAGACACTCTACGCAAAAGGCTCGGAGCTTCCCGCCAAGACCGCTCAGGGTCGGAAAAGGTAGTGACTGGGAGGGAGCCTGGGCTCAGCCTGGAAGGCAAACAACCCCGAAGGCCTGGAGAATGCAGTTGCTGCAGAGCTTGGCTCCGGGAAAGACAGCAGTCCGGACTACAACGCCCGAGGCTGCCCTGTCTCTTCCAAGCTTGAAGGGGCTTCTGGGCAGAGTCAGGCTCAGACCCTTTCTTCCCAGGCACGTGCAGCCAAACCCAGACCCATAGTTTCCAGGATGCAAGCAGGGCCGCGTCCCGAGCTCCCAGCGCGCCAGCTGGCGGAGAGGCTGGCGCCCGCGGGACTTGGCTGCCCTCTCTAGAAGCAGTTCCTAACTGAGCTGCGAGGCCACGCTAACCTCTGATCCGAAGCTGGCCGGGAAGGGCCCGCGGGGAGGCAGCAGCAGAGGCGTGGGAGGAAAGTACTCACCGGAAGAAGTCGTTCTTGCAATAGAGTTTGCCTTCCCTGGAGAAGCACTTCTCGGTCAGGTTGCATTTACATTCACAACACTGGACGCACTTGACGTGCCAGGCCCTGTCCAGCACGTTCAAGAGAAAGCGGTCCAGGATGGGCCTTTTGCAGCCGGCACAGTGAACCATGGTCTTTGGTTTGGTCTGATGAGGCCCAGAGAGAGCGGGACAAAGTAGAGCCCAGGGCTCCTGAAGACAACCGGCACGAACTCCCCAGTCTCTCCAAAAAGAGGACACACACTCGGCCGTGCAAGCCAAACCCGCACCAGGAAATCAAAGTAGGGTGGAGAAAACGAGGCTGATCGGGGCCTGGGGGCGCTTCAGTGAAGTGTGCAGCGGGGGAGTCCCGGGGCCCCGGGCTATAGCTGCCCCTCCTCAGCTCCAGGGGCGAGGAAAAGAAGTCTCAGGCGGGCGAGAATGCGACCCTTCTGCCCAGAGCCCGCGGAGGAGTGAAGGTCGGCGAGAACGGCGGCGGGAACGTAAATAAATAAATAAAAACGGAGACGAAGAAGACGACGACGACTAGGCGAGCTCGGGTTGCGAGGAAAGCGCCGCTGAGTTCTCCCGGGCTTGAGGTAGAGCTGTCAGAAGTCAAAGTGCATCTGCTTTTGTCGGGGTATGAGGGCGAGTGTGTGCGTGCCAGGCTGCCCACCACTGGGATTTCCCCCCTCTTTTTAAAAAAAAGGAAAGGAAAGAACAAAAGGAGCAGAGAAGCTTTGGATCCTAAACTGCCGGCAACGCGCCGCGGGTCCGGACGCGCCGAGCGCCCGCGCTGGGCCTGGGGGAGGGGGCGAGGGCCGAACGAGGGGGGAGGGAGACAGGGGAGGGTAGGAGGAAGATCTTGGTGTTGATTGCTCTTGTTGCTTAGGTTTCCCCGCTTTTGGAGAAGTGTTTGTGTCAATCGAAAAGAGAGGGACAACTCCGGGCGGAGGCAGCCAGGCGCACTCGCTCCTTCCCTACCGCCCCAGCCCAGTCACCTCGGCCCTTGGCCTGCCTGGCGGCCTCCGTGTCCTCAGGGCGACCCTCCCTGCGCCCGGGCTCCTTCGGGAGGCACTACGGGCTGGCTTCTCACCGCGCCTGGCCGTGCATCGTGGCTCCAGTCACAACTCGCGGCCGCCTGGGCGTACAGCCCCGCATCGCTCGGCCCACGCTCTGGCTGCCTCCGTCTAAACCCACAGTCGCTCGACTTTCTCTCCTTTTCCTTTTCCCCTTCTTTTTTTCGTTGTGGTGGCAAATCTGGGTTTCCTTTCTAGCCTCCTTCCTTTTTTTTTTTTTTTGTTTTTTTTTTTGTTTTTCTTTTGCAGCGGGAGGAGTCGGGGAGGAGGGGGACAGCTTGAAGAGCTTTAAAAAAAAAAAAAATGTCCTGGCGCAGCGGCTACAGTAGGCCGGCGGCTGGAACGGCTCGCGCGGACCGCCGCTGTCGCCGCCCGGGCCGCGGCTCGTTGCTGGCCCTCCCCGGGCGCGTCCCTCAGTCCCTGGTCTCCTGGCCCAGTCGCCGCCCTGGTGCGTCTCTCCCCAGCTCCGGCGGCTCGGTCACTGCTCCTGGCTGTTGGCTGAGCTCTGGAAGCCCCCTCGCCTTAATGCAGAGCCCGCCGACGTCACTGCGGCCTGCGACCAATCAGCGCCTCGCGGTCCCTCTGTAAACCATTCTGCATCCCCCGGCCCGGGAGAGTGCGGGGAGACCGCGTTTAGAGGATCAGTGGCGGCGGCACCCGCGGCCCCGCGCTGCGCGGACGGCGGGCAGTACCGTGCCCGGGCCCCCTCCTGCTCCGGTAAGGCGTGGGTTTCGATGGGAGGGACAGAGAGAGAGCGGGAATAGGCGCAGGTGGAGGCCAGAGTTCTGCTGCAGAGTAGGGGTAGTTCAAGACCGAGCCTGGTGGAAGGTTGGGGTGCAGCTGGGTCCGGAATCCCAGGCGGCTCCGCTGCACTGCTGGGCTTTGCAATTCAGCGGCTGTTGGCATTGTCCCCCCTTACTTTCTAGACCTGGAAGTTTGTTCCAGGCACAGTGCACATCTTTGGAGGGGGAGGGGGCGCTTAGCAGCAGAATCTCCCTCCTCCCGTCCCTCTTTCTGTGCCCCCTCCCCCAATCCATCCAAAGTCCACAGGGTCCGGGTCCTGGGCGAGCTGAGTGTCTGTCTCCCACAGAGCACTCTCGCAAAGTTGATTCGGGCGGTTTCCTGATGGGGGCGGGGAGACCGGAGGCGCGGCGCCGGCGCGCGGTAAGGAGTGGACCGGGAAGCGCCACGGGTGAGGAGTTGCAACCCTGGCGAGAAAGTTGTGAGAAAACTGTGATCCGGAGACACCTTTCACGTACAAAAACAAACGACTAGGCGGGAAACCGGGGGCTCCAACGGCGGCTGGGGGTGATGGTCGTGGCGTTGGGAAGAGGGAAGGAGGAGCGGGATGCCAGGACGCCACGAAGAGGCTGCAGTAGATGGGCGTGCAGTGTATGGGCAGCGTGTGCCCGGATTCCAGTCCTCCTCTGTCCAGGCTTCGGGTTGGCACCGGCTTTCCCAGACAACAGCAAACCACACCCTCCATAGTTCACTCCTCAGGGAACCCATAACTCCTTAATCCCTCTCTGGCTAGGAACTCGGAACCGCCGCCCCCAGGGGCGCATTTGCCCAGACGTGGCGGACAGATCCTGGTCTAGAGTGCCTTCGCCTGGAAGAGTTACTTTAGTTTTTCGGAGCACTCAAGTCAAACCCTAAATTCCGTTTCGACCACACCTGTTCTGGGTGGGCTTAACCAGGATTTCTCCTGAAGTGGAGTCTGAAGGTGATTGGGCTGGGCGGTCCCATTTTTGCCCCCATTTTTGTGCTTTGGGGGAAGGAGTGCTAGGAAGGCTCATTTCACCCGAGCATGGAAGACAATGATGGTGGGCGTCCCTCCGGAGCTGGCTGGTATTGTGGAATTGGCCTTTGGACCCCACTCGCGATGCGCAGACCAGGCGGAGGCTGAAAGGGGGAAAATGATCGGGGAAGCGCAGTCCCATTGAGCTTGGGCTGGCAGGGAATCCCGCTTTACAGATGGAATACCCTCTTCGGACGAAAGGGGAAGCTGCTACAGCGAATCTGGCTTGCGCTCCGGGGAACCGTGGGGTTTTAGGGCTCTGCCAACGCCCCTTTGCTGACTCCGCCCGCACCGCCCAGCAACCCCGAGGCCCACAGGCAGCCCCCGCCTTGCCGCCGGCGTCACTATGTCATGGAAACCGAAGCCGCGGAGACCCGCAGTGCGACTCGTTGGCGTTCTGCCCTGACCCCTGGGTGCCGGAACCCTAACGCCTTCTCCACACTTTCTTGCACATACACATGTGGGCTCCCGGCTGCCGGCCGGAGGAGCGCAGGGAACTAGTCAGCTCCTGCGCGCCGCCGGCCTCCGCAGGTCTCTCCCAGGCCCCGACGCAGGGCGGGGCAGAGGATGGAGAAGGCGGTTCTGTGACCTAGCGGGCGGGCTCCGCGGGCTCGACTCGGCTTCGCGCTCCTCCTGCGGACCCGGCACTTCCCGGCGGAAGCCGACCGGTACTCGGTAGGATTCTGGCACCCCCGAAAGCGCCAAGAGCCGTGTGGCACCGGGTCCTCACTTCCTCCACCCGGACTCCCAGGCGCCTCCCAGCCTGCTGCGCTGCGTGAGACCTGAGGGGGAGGGGGCCCATCCAGCCCTGCTGTCCTCACCCTCCTCCCCTCCCCCGCATCTGTCCCGGTTCTCGCCGCCAGCGCTCTCGACCCAACCGCCCCTTTCTGGAATCTATAGTGGCCCCAGTCCCGGGTGGCTCGCCTCCGCCCCTGCCCCAGCTGGGCTCCTTCTCATGCAAAGCAGAGGGGTCACGGTGGAGTGTGGGGCGGTCAGTGGGACCTACCAGACGACAGCTGGACCCAACTGCCGGCCCTTCCCCAACGCAAAGCCTGTCACATCCCTCTGGTGGGCAGGAGGAGGTTGCTCCATCCATTTGGGGAGCAAGAACCTTGGGACCTAGGTGTAGGGGAAAGAAGGCCCCTCTCCACAGAAGGACCAGCGAGGCAGGGGAGTTGAAGGTGAGGACAGGACGGTCGCTCTAGGGCGTCAGGCTCTGTTCTTCCTGGTGTCCAGATGGCTCAGTAAACAGGTCCGCAGGAGCCAACCCTGGCGTCTACAATGGGGGTCGGGAGCGCAACTCAAAGTGCGCCTCTTGGCTCCAGATTCTAGGTTTGGAGTCCAGACTTAACTCCTCCACGGGGACAGCACATTAGACTAATGGTGGGTTTTGTTTTGTTTTCGTTTCCATTGAGCTTTTGTTTTAAAACATAATCGGTCGCAGGGACATGGAGAGAAAACTGACCAGGCTTTCTAAATTCACCTTCTCCGAAGCCTTTCAGCTCAGCTCTGCATTTAAGCCAGTGTCCGTTCAGCGAAGAGCGCCAACCTTCCCTCCTCACCTTCCAGGCCACACTTATTGTCTGCATCCTCAACTACGCAAGCGCTTTCCTACCCAACGTCCTCCACAGACCCACAGCCACTTACACCGCCCAGGACCTGTACATTCTGGACCAGGATCCGTGGGGATCATTTTCGCTGATAGCTCGGTGACTGCAGAATCCTTTCCACCCTCCTCCCAGTCACCCCCAGATATGGCCCCAGAGGGCCTAGGAGGTGACTTTCACAGTCCAGGTTTCTTTTCTTGAGAAGCTCCTTGACGATCAGCACCAGATCTCCCCAGATGCCTTGCAGTTTGGGAAGCCTGAAGGTGCCCCTCTCAAACTTCCATCCCCCTTCCTTCCCCATGAGGTTCCAGAATGATGCTCGGCCCATGGACAGAGCCTGCCCAGTCACCCCCCTGGCCATTTCCCTCCTGTCCCTTCTGCTCCAGGACAGCCCAAGGAGCAGAAAAGAGTGATAAGGCCGTGAAAGGAGGCACCTGGGGCGGAGCCGGCTCTAGGAGGTTACCCCATGCGGAGTACACACTCAGCTACACCCGTTCCGGAAGAGGGAGGAAAGAGCACCCCTGGACTCTGCCGGTCCCAGAGGCCACGCAAACTCCGCCCAGACTCGGTGAGGCCGCGATAATGCCACGCAGGGAACTGCGTGGATAAAGTCGCTCGGATCTGAGCGCCAGGGTCTCCCGCCTCACCTTCCCCTCTAGATCTCTCCAGACTCAAATTGCCTTAATCTCACCCATCATTCTCTCATGGAAATGATCTACTCGTGTGCAGTACTTTACAGCTTTTGTCACGGTCTCCCCTGAACCGTATAGCAAGGGGGTAGTCGGGGGTGGAAGAGAAGGGTACTATCTCCACTTCTCCTGCCAGGGAGCCCAAGTTAGGAGGCTTGCCCGAGATCCCTAGGTCAGCGCACTATTTAAGGTGAGAAGTTGGGTGGGGGGCTTGGCACCTTGCTCCAGTGTGCACTTTGCGCCCGGCCATGTTTTCTAAGCAAGGGGGGCTTGGTCTGGTTAAGGGGGAGCAGGGACCGCAGGACTGGGAAAGGGCAGCATCCGGCAGGCCAGGGCGTCACGGTGTGTGCCTGGCCTGGATAAACAACTCGGGCTTCCCACGAGGGCTGGAGGGACCCTGGGCATGGAGCAGGGGCGGGGCGGGGGGGGGGAGCGGGTGCAGGGGGCAGGTGGAACAGCGAGGTCAAGCGTGGAGATCCCCGTTGCCAGTCAGCTCCGCGCCGCGGAGCAAAGACACGGCGTGGATAATCTCGCGAGGGAAACGCTGAGTTGAAGAACAGAAAAGAGAGATAGAGGCAGAAGTGAGGAGAGAGGGACAGGAAAAGAAAATAAAGGCAGAAACCCAGAGAAAAGACGAGACGGAGTACGGAAAAGCAGGCGGGGATAAAGGAAGGAAAGATCTGTCGGGGAAATGCGGGGAGGAGTGGAGGAAAAGAAACAGAAAAGAGACCCAGCCACGAAGAAGGCCGCGGGGATGGGCGCGGAGCCGAGGGTCCTCCAGGCACGAAGCGGGTGTGCGGTTTTGGGACAGGCGAATGCGTGCGGAGGAAGGAGGCAGCGTATTTGGTGGGAGACTTGCGCCCGTGGAAAAGCGGCTCTGGGCAGGAATCCAACAAATAAATAAAACGTCTAAGACGGCGTGACAACAATGTGTATTTGGGTGCGTGCCCGTGTTCCTCTGTCTGAATACACTCACACCCAGTAAGGAAGACAAACGGGGCTCGTGCCTCACAGTAATTAATCCTCTCACTAATTGACTCTCTCCTCTTACCTAATGGCGGTGGTCACTGCCGATATCTGGAGAGATATCAAGTAGGGGGAGACAGAGAGAGAGCGAACCCCAAAGCTAATGACCTTTGGGACTGGGATTGAGTTTTTTCTGGACTTGGCAGCTCTGAGCCCTGCCCCCACCTCCACTTTTGGGCAGAGTTCCATAGATGTTGCTGCCTTCCTTCCCCTTCCAGGTTTTGGGCAGCATTGATAAAGATCTCCTCAGATTAGGGTCACACACACTGAAGCTCTTCTACCGCCCTCCACCTGGGGAGATTAGTTTCAGAGGCTGAAAGCCACCCCTGTCCCTGGGACATTTCTTACCTCCCTGCAATATCAAAGCTCCCCTCCCTTGTTGTTCCCTCAGGGGCCCAGACCTTGCACCCCCTTCCTTCAGGCAGTACTAACTCTTCCAAGGACCTCAGCGGTGTCCTGCAGTCCCCTAGGGCGGGTGGGGTTTTGAATGGGTTGAGAAGCAGCCTGGGGTTGATGGAAGGAGAGCGGTGGGAGGTCAGGGCAACGATGGGGAGAGGCTTCCAGAGACAACCCTCTTCAGACTTGGGTTGAGAGACACAGAGGCGCAGAGGGGCACAGCTGCCACTAGGCAAGAGCGAGGCCTCTAGGGACAAAGGAGGGAAAGGTGGGCTCTATGCACTGTGAGAAGGAGCGCCAAGTGTGTGAGAGGCAGGAAGGTGGTCATGTCTCTGTGACTGTGATGGTGACCGTTCTGGTCTCTCTGTTTGAGCATGGGGAAGGCCCCCTATGTTCCTTCATATCACCCTCAGTTTTCAGAATGGGGAGAAGGGCCAGAGGACTGGCCTGGGACTTCATGGTCCCCTTGGTAGCTGAGTTGGCTGGGAGGGGCACAACACTCACAGTCTGTCTGGTAATGCAGCTTTGAGGCTTGGGTTTGGGAGGTGAATGTCAACTATCACCCCTGTGAGGTGGCAGCTTTGCTCTGTTGGCCTCCTCAGAGGCTAAATAAAGAAATGCTGGGATCTATAAACCACTCAGCCCAGAGAGAGGAAGGAGGCAGGACGGGCAGCTCCCTAGAAAAAAATCCACTCCCCCTCCCAACCACTAAACACATTTTTAATTGTCCCTTGGGAACATTTGTACATTTGACCAAAGCGAATCTCAAAGCAGTAGCAGCAAAATGAGTCGGAGGGGCTGGTGGTCCAGAGAGAGCTGGGGATCGGAGAGGGGGAGGTGAGGAGAGGTGGCAGGCATGTTTGGGAAGGTGAGAAACTTGGCTCCTTTCTCACCGTCTCTGTCAAGCTTTAGAAAGAAAGTGAGCAGGAGAAATAAAGTTCCAGGGGAAAGAAAGAGAAGGGCATATAAAAGGCAAATCCAGCCCAGAAAGGAAAGAAAGTGAAGAAGAAAGAAAAAGGCGGGGAGGGGGGAGAGACTATAATAAAAGAGGGTGAAGGTGGCCCCAGGAGGCTGGGCCTCGTCCCAAACCATCCGTCTTCATTGTCTCCGTGTATGCAAAGGCAACTCTGGCATAAGGAAAACCCACTATTGGAGCCGAGGCTTTATTTTATATCCTATACATCAGGAGGGAGGCAAAGCTTTATTTTCGCCAAGAGACAGATATTTTATTTCTCTCTTACGGTTTTATGTGTGAGAGATGTCAGGTTGCCACAATGGATGGCTAATGCATAGGCAAGAGGAAGCCGTGTTGGCATGCTGTGTGTCATGGGGTCTTGGGGGGGTGAGCGGGCCTGGGATTTAGGGCTGATGGGACACTCTGGGGGATTTCTGCTAAAACATCTCTCTTCATAAATCCAGAAGCATGGTCAGCTCAACAGGGAGAAGAAGGAGTTTTAGAGAGAAAAGAGTTGGGCTTAGTAATAAACGAACACACAAAGGAACCGCTTACCTTCTAACACGCTCGGGCAACGGGGGGCATGACAGCCCCATGGAAATGCAGAGACCCATGTCCACGCACACAAGTGCCATTCACAGGGAAGTATTTTCCTGACACAAAATCCAATGTCAGTTTCCTTTCCTTCCCTTTCCCCATGTTACATTTTTCCACCCTCCTTCACCAGAAATCTTTTTTAACCTCCTCAGAGCCTTGGGGAAAAGAGCCATTAATTTGCAAATCATCTGATCTGTGAAAGGATCAAGATGCCTGGTTTTCACTGCTAAATCCAATGTCTTGAGTGGACACAGAGGCACACACAAGCCCGTCATGCTGCCAACCCTTGGGAGCGTAGGTGCCACATCTGTAGCCAAGAAGAGACTCCCTCTCCTCCCGGGACCTGCAGCTGAATTAAGCCTTAGATTCTAAACTGCATAATGTTCATATTTTTAAACCTGGAGAGAAGTGGAGAGATGAAGGGGGACAAAAAGAGGGGGAACTTTGTTAATTAATATGTTCCATTCAGGACTCAGACTAATTGTCTTCCCCACTTTCAGCCACCCCCCCCCACCCAAGCCATTTCTTACAGGAGTTGCTTTTATTCATTCTCATGTCCTATTCTTTTCATTTGGATTAATATATACTTGTTTAATATCTACTGTAGAGCAAAAACGTGACCACGCTTTTTCCGTCTTTTCAGAGGGTCAGAAGTAGCACAGGATTCCTAGACAAGGAGCGTGAAGACCTGACTGTCCCTGGCCATTGGGGAAGACATTTAGCCTTTCCGGGTCTCAGTTTTCCCATCTGCAATATGAGGGGATTCAGCTAAATGATTACGGAGGTCCTTTCCAGCTCCGACCTCCTCTGGCCGAATGAGATAATGTGTGAAAACACTTTGTGAACGCTAACACCGGACGAATGCCAGGGATCATTATTACGATTCTAATCAATCCTCTTTTCTCCACATGGATCTTTGCTGTTAAGTGCCAGCAAGCAGGCTAAAGAGGGTGAAAGCGAGAAAGCTTAGCGGAGATGCAAAGCTCTGTGCTGTGGATGGAAAAAAAAAAAAAGCCCTACATCTCCAAAAACATTGTGTCTCTGTGTGCCCCCTGGGCCTAGTGGGAAGGGTTGGAGAGGAGGAGGCCTGACTTGGTAGGACCCTTTTCGGTGTACGTGGTGGCAGAGAGTGTATTTCTTCAAAAGCATTGTTGGTCTCCAAATGACTGACATGGGAACCTGATGGGAAGGCGATTTGCAATTGTTTTTTTCCAGGAAGAAAGAAAGAGCAAGGTGTAGCTGATTAGCAAGTTAATTATTTCAGTACCCCAAGGGTTCCAGTGTGGTGGTAAGTTGTCCAGCCCTGGTATAATTTCACAGTCCGTGCATTTCCTGGTGAGCACCTCGGGTGCCCGAGTCTGCCTCTTTCTCCTTCCACCTGCCCTGTGTCTTCCTGACGCACCTGGGGAGATGAGCAGGGGCTGGGGAAGTTGACGGTACAGGGTACACATTCGGCTTAAGCTGCGGGTGGGGGCCACCCCCAGCACAGGGTGGAGGAAGCCCAACTGATGCCATCTACCTCCACTGAGTGTTTAATTATCTGGCCCTTTCTTCTTTAAAACAATCTTTTGTTTAATAAATATTAATGAGGCGGGTTATCGGAAAGTGTAGTTGCCATGATGTTATTTCCCCAGCCTTAGCATGGAAAGAAACTGGGTTTGAGGAGCCTTTCCGCCTCTGGCCGCCTCCTACCCCGCCAGCTCTCCCGTGCTCCTGTTCCGCAGCAGCTCCTCCGGTCTCACTTCAAGATTTGATTTCCCCTTGAGGGAGGGTAGGGGAGGAGGGAGCATTGTGTGGTCAAATGGACACTTCCCCTCGGAGAGATAAGTTGGAGATGTGAACATTAGCCTCAAGAATTAACAGCTTCTGCCGCTCTCTGCTCTCGGGGCTGAGAAGGCCAGCCCCCCGCTGCTCCTTCCGAGATGGATGAAGGGAGGGCCCTACAGTTTACTTAAGAGCGGTCCCATCTGCTCAGACTGGCCTTTCATAAGGGGAGGGATTTATGCAGTGTCCTTGTGCACAGACCTGGGATTTGGCTGAAAACCTTGGGCCTCTGAGAATATTACTGAACGCTAAAACGTTCAGCCATGGAGATGATTCATGATTTTGTCTGCATGGACAGGGTGTGTGTGTGTGTGTGTGTGTGCGCGCACGCATGCGTGTGTGTGTTTGTTGGGGTTGCACGCACACTGATGGGTGCTTTTCACCGTTCTCACTTTGAATCCAGATGTTAGGAAACTTTTTTTCCTTCTGTATTCACTCAGGAGACAGCCCCTGGCACCAGGCTCTGGAGAGCCCGCTTCCTGACTCCAGCGGTGCGAAGATGATACAATACTTTCGGGTGCTGACATTCAGCTGTCCCCCAAACAGGTTGGCTGATAGCTTTGCTGGTCCTTGGAGAGGGGCCGGGGGCTGTCTAAAACGACAGTTCTGATGACTGCTTCGTTGCTGGTGGCAGAGGATTTGGGGCACAGGAGTGGAGTTAAGTCCAATTGCAGTTTCAACTGGACTTGGCCTCCTTTATTTTACAGTCCTAACGGGTCTCCATAGGAGAAAAAGTAGAGAGAGAAACGTAGAACGCAGGAAAGCAAGCATAGGGAAGAGTTTCTTGTCTCAATCTTGGTACTGCCGTGCCAAAATGAAGCCCAGGGATGGTTAAAAACAGATCCTACGGGCCGGGCACCTTGGCTCAGGCCTGTAATCCCAGCACTTTGGGAGACCGAGATGGGAGGATTGCTTGAGGTTAGGAGTTCGAGACCTGCCTGGCCAGCATAGTGAGACCTCATCTCCAAAAATAAAAACTTAAAAAAAAATTTTTAAAAACCAAACCAAAAATACAGATCCTAGGGAACAGACCTTTGAGGTTCCCTAAGGGATCTTGGCCTGACTCTCGGGAGATGAAGAAGTCCTTGGCAAGTTTGAAAAGACCTACAAGTGCCATCTATTCAGGGGACTAAATGTGATTTCACTGCCCAGTGGCGGTTAAGGAAGGAAGCATTTTGCATTTTCAGCTTGTAGGTTGGTCATTGGTGGTCCTACCATCTTGCTCATGTTCAAGTTTGGTCTTGTAGATGAAGCCCCCAGCTTCCCACCTCTTAGTTTTTCTTTTCCCTCAGGCCATTCATAATTTAGCTAACATTCTAGTCCATCGGCCAGCACGCACTTTGAAAGGTGAGCTGGCAAGCCTGTAACTGTGTGCAAGGTTGTTCTCATTTAGGCTCCAGGAAGGATATAGTTTCCCCATAAGAAAGAAAAGTGAGTGAGAGGCTGAGGTGGGAGGTCACTTGAGTCCAGGAGGCAAAGGTTGCAGTGAGCTGAGAACCATGCCACTCACTGCATTCCAGCTTGGGTGACAGAGTGAGACCCCATCTCAAAAAAAAAAAAAAAAAAGAAAGAGAAAGAAAGAAAGAAAGAAAGAAAGAAAGAAAGAAAAGCAAGTTAAAAGCAAGGAACCATTTCTATGAATCTTTTAATGAAGGATTTACCAATCTGATAAGTACGAAGCTCCTTTTCCTCCTTCTGAATAAGTAAGTATGTCAGTCAACGCTGAGGGTCTGCAGAATCCATAAAAAATGCTTTCTTTGGTCTCTCAGTTTTAACACATGCTGGGGCTTGGGCCTGCCTCTGACAGACTGGGGAGGAGTAGACACATTCCAGAGACCAGGTCTTGGAGTGTTATCTCTTCCCCCACCTCAAATCCTCACCCTCCACTTTATCTGTCTTTAGCATGAATGCAGAGACCTCCTAGGGAAGTGTGAAGGGATGGGTTTTCGTCAGGTTTGGGAAAGGAAGGGGAACAAGAGGAGCCCCAAAGAAAGAGGGGGGTCACTTGGAATTTTTAGATGACACTGTTTTGTTATACTTCTCGTGTGTTGTGTATTATGTCCTACAAATCGCGCATTTGTTACAGTCAGCCAGTGTGTATGTGTATTTGCCAAGTGCTGCTTGGCCAAAACAGTGTTAAATAAAATTGTAAGAAATGCTACCAAGGCCTTGCATGGGTTATTTAATTCTATCAATGGTAAACAACGTTAATGTGTAGCATCTCGGTCGGCACAATATCATGTTTCATTTATATATGCTGAGATATATTTAGGCATGAAAGACACAGTTTTCCAACACATATATTTCCCAGTGATTACTTAGGGGAAGTGTGATAGAAACAGCAGAAACCTTTCTCTCTCACATAAACCTGCACCCTGCAAACACAGACTGCCAGTCACACTTAGTCACATGGCCAGCCAGCCATGTACATATTTTCATATACATGCCTTCACAGGTAAATGTAAATGTAGATTTTAGAAACGTAGATTCAAATTTCCGTACTGGCACACGATTCTAGATACATGTAGCAGCACACACAGGCAGCTTTTCAAAGTCTTTGTTACATTTACACATTTTCTCACACACTTACCTACCCTGCTGCATAGACTGATGCTAACACCAACATGCATATCATCCCACGTGTGGATATGTATGTGTACACATGTTGGTACTCTCACTGCCAAGTGCTGATGTGCCCAGAAGGATGTGTGCCCACATGCAGGACACAGTTCTGCCCAGTCTCCTCCTGAAATGTGCATCTATGTGCATGTGCACATTTGCACACACACATACACACTCCTCCACCCCTGCTCTGGGGAGTACACTAACATTCACTGACACACTCCATATGGCCATGGAGCAGCAGCTGCCCTATTACTCTCGGAGGCTCCAGGCCTGGTGGACAGTTTTTGACCTGGGAACTGTGTGTTTGCCCTATGAACTCTGAGGCCTTCAGGATAGGAAGCCTGGAGGATCAGGGTCAAGATGCCAGCCTGTCCAGCCTCTGATGAAAATAATATGAAAACGTAGGAGTGGGAGAGGGGGTTGGGTAGCTGGTCTCTGCAGACAGATGCCTCCAAAAGAGGATCAAGCTTTTATTTGCTCATTTGACAAACATGTCAGAGAGGTATATAGGAGTCAGGATGCCTAATCAGCTTCTCTGATTCTGACTCTGCTGCCAGTTAGCTGTGTGGATCTAGGCAACCTGCTCTCTAGGCCTCAGTTTCCACATCTGTAAAGAACGGGCCTGGGGCTGGACATGGTGGCTCACGCCTGTAATCCAAGCGCTTAGGGAAGCCGAGGTGGGTGGATCATCTGAGGTCAGGAGTTTGAAACCAGCCTGGCCAACATGGCGAAACCCCGTCTCTACTAAAAATACAAACATTAGCCAGGTGTGGTGGCAGGCACCTGTAATCCCAGCTACTGGGAGGCTGAGGCAGGAGAATCACTTGAACTCGGAGGGTGGAGGTTGCAGTGAGCCAAGATCGCACCACTTCACTCTGTCTCCAAAAAAAAAAAAAAAAAAAAAAAAAAAAAAAAAAGAATGGGCCTGGATGGGCAGTTCTCAACCTTGGATGCACAGAGGAATCATCCGGGGAGCTTTCAAAAAATACAGATGTCTGGGCTCCACCCCAGACCAGTTAGATCAGCATCTCTGGGAGGTGAGTCCCTTGCATCTTTTTTTTTTTTTTTTTTCCAAAGCTCCCCAGGTGATTCTATGTTCAACCAAGGTTGAAACCCAGTGGCTGAGATGGTCTCCAAGGCTCTTCTAGACCAAAAGCTCTATGCCATGGAGGACTTTCCATACAAAAAGCACTGTGCTGGGTACCAGGGCACCCTGCTGAAACATCTACATTTACTTGTATAAGGTCAAAAAGTTATTAAAAATTATTCTTCTTTCAGTTTAGGCAAAGAATAATTTCAAACAAAGTATATTTATAATGGAAATACTCATACTTGCATTTCCAGCTCTCTTTTTGTGTCTTTGTTTCCTTTCCAATTTATCTCTCTCTGACTCACTCATCAAACATTAATTATATGCCACATATACAAATACTATACATGGGGATCTGGTAAATGTGATAGATACCTTTGCTACCCACACATATTTCCCGGCTAGCTCCTCACCCAACCTGTTGGATGGCATAATATTTTTAGCAGGGTAAATGATAAGGCACAGGCTCCAGGAGGAAAGTTTTCTCCCCCCGCCCCCCAAGCCCAGCTGTGAGTCAGAGAACAGCAGCCCCCAGGCCCGTGCCCCAGTTCTGGAGGCTGGCATGGTGCTGAGGAACGCATTGAGCTGCGTGTCCTAGAAAGCTGCTCTCAGACCTGGGCCTTTGGGAATCCCACATTAATATTCTCCACTAACAGTTCCCCAGGCAGGGCCAGTCCCCCTTGAAAACAAACCTGCTCCGTGAGCACACCTGCTGGAGAAGACTGCCTCTCATCCACAGTAGCGTGCAGAAGGCAAAGCTAAGACAAGACAGCCTGAGCTGCTGCCTGTGGGCCCCTTCTGTGTTGGAGGATGTTTAGGAGAGTATGGGGGAGGGCTCCTGCCTCTCATCTGCGGTGGGGTGGAGGAGAGGGGTTTCATTCTGCATGGAGGGCCTCCACTTTTCCCTCTGTGTACTAACCCACTCAGGCCTCCGAGAGAAACTCAGACGGGAGGCTGGTTCTCTCTTTCCCTCTCTCCCTTTAGCTACACTGGCCTGCAGAATTTGGGATGAGGTTTCTCTTTAGGAAAGTTGTCCCAATGTGGCCATGGTGGCAGCTCTTCTGTCCAGGCTAGTGCCAGAGTAGGGATCAAGGCTGAGACCCGTGGGTTTGATCTCTAACCCTGTCATTCACTCCTGTTTGCTGCCTGTTTCTTTGTTTATCTCTTTATTTTCCCCCCATCCCTTTCATTTTGTCTTCTCCCCTGATGACATACGGAGTCAAGTCCTGGCCACCAAGGTGGCCTTGAACATAGCGTAGGAGTGGTTGCTGGGCACAGCGGACCTCTCATGCCATGCCCAGTCCCTCTTCTCCCCTCCCCTCTCCTCTTGCACAGAGGATGAGTTTGGTGCTGAGGAGGGAGAGGCAGCAGGGGATCCTCAGATTCTAAACTCTGATCCAGGGCCCAGCTTCCCAGGCTTGAGTCCCTTCCCAGGGCCCACCTCCCCTTGGGCCTGGGGAACGTCACACACCAGGAAGTGATGGATTCCCCAGGCACCTTCAAAGAGCTCTGCATTTGTTTGCAATGCAGACCTTGAATCTTGCTCTGGTCATAAATGTTGTTTATTTTGACTAGGACCTACTGAAAGGGACTGGGGGGTATAGAGGGCAAAGAGAGAATTCTGTAGGGAAGATCATAAAACCATTAGCAAGGCAGGGCTTCTAGAGGTCACAGGATCACAGACATTTTCTGACTGGAAGGAGCATAGGCCATCAGGAAGGTCAGAGATGACCACTTTGTCAGCAAAAGGCCTTCAGGGGCCACACAGGGCTAGGGTGGGGGGTCTTTGGGCCTCTTGTGTGTGGACTGTTTCTAGAAAGTGGACCCAAGGTATGGGGTCATGACCCCCCAGTAACCTTATGCCAGGTCGGGGAGGCCAATCTTGCTGAATCTGATGGATTTGCCCTCCTGGTGGGAAGAACCAGTTGCTTGGCTGTGTAGCAGAGCCTCCTATCCTAGGGAGTGGGCACAGCTCCCGGGTTGAAGATTTTGCTTCCAGCAGCTCCTGGGGAAAAGACTTTGCTCTACTATAATTGATGGAGCAGCTGTGTGTGCCAGGGGCTGTGCCTAATGCTCTTCTAGTACCTTGTCTTATTCACCCTTTGAGACAATGCTTGAAAGAGATGTTTCCATCTCCATTTTGCAGATAAGAAAACTGAAGCTCAGAGAGAAGAGGTGGTTTGTCCAAGGTCACACAGCAAGTTAGTGATAAGGCTGGGAGTAGGCTTTAAGACTTGGGACTCTTTCAACCTAATCTTCTCCACATCTCTCCTCTTCTTCACCATCCACTGTGGTCTGGTCTTCTGCGGCCTGAGAGAACAAATGGGAGTAAGGTTCCCCTCCCTCTAAAGCGTATGTTGGGCTGACAAAAAATTCAGGAACAAACCTCCTGATTTTTTTTATTTTTTATTTTATTTTATTTTATTTTTGAGACAGAGTCTTGCTCTGTCACCCAGGCTAGACTGCAGTGGCATTATCAAGGCTCCAACTCATGGGCCCAACCTATCTTCCCACCTCAGCCTCCCAAGTAGCTGGGACCACAGGCACATGCCACCACACCTGGCTAATTTTTAAATTTTTTTTATAGAGATGTCTCCCTATGTTACCCAGGCTGGTGCTGAACTCCCGGGCTCAATCGATCCTCCTGCCATAGACCCTCAAAGTGCTGGGATTACAGGCGTGAGCCACCGTGCCCAGCCTGCAAACTTCCTTCTTGTAGGGGGAACAGCAGAGTCTTCGGCCCCTTCCAGTCCCTGGAAGTCCCTCGCTCTGCCGAGAACATGCTCCCATAAATCCAGTCCACAGTCAGGCAGCTATCCTAGTTGTCTTTCACTCGCAGTGTGACTCAGAGCAAGTCGCTTCACCATTCTGAGTCACGCCTTCCAGATCCACCTCCAGACTTGGGGGCTCTGTGGAAGGTGAGGTTTGGCGGAGGTGGTGGCGAGCGGAGCCCTCTTGAGCTCTTGTTTGGTGTAATAGCTCAGGGCTGGGCAGAAGGAGATGAGACTTGATTTTGCCCCTAAACCTGACTCAAGTTACATAAAGATTCTTCAAAAGCAGGCGAGGCAGGGCTTGGTAAGATCCCTGCTGAGGCCGTGAGAGGCGGAGAGCCAGGGCAGAGGCAGCTTAAGTAGCAGTTCTTCCCTGATCCCCTGACTGTGTAATCCAGTTGCTCAGAGAATGGAAAATCCCTTTTGCCTCCCCCGGCCCCCTCCCCCACAAAGGCCTCCTAATAGGCCTGCCAGCTTTGGGGTGCTAATCTGCCCAGACATCACTCTGTGAGCAGGTTGCCCAGGGTTCCAATCCCAGCCACCCCACAGTGGGAGATGGGGAAGGCTGCGAGGAGCCGGGGGGGCCTTCTCGGGAGTTGAGTGTGGGGGATTGCCTGCTCTCTGGCCTGCCCAAACGATCAGAGAAACAAACAGGCTCTGTGCTGAAAGAAACTT